GGCGGGGAGGCAGCCGCACGCTGCCGGGGCGGCGAGACCTTCCCTCCCATCCCTGCCAAGAGGATACGGATATTGCCGAGGCTGCGAGGGGTCCCACGCCGGCACCCCTCACGCCGTCTCTGTCCCAGCCCTGCTCTCGGGAGGCGGCGCGTGTTGGTGCTGGTGCTATTCCTGCGCTGGTAGCAGCTTGTTCCCATCCCGGTGGGCTTGGCCGCGGAACTTGATCTCTCAGCGCTTTTGCCTGGGGTTGTTTAGTTTGCTTTCTGCAGGCAGGTGTGGATCGAGACCTCCCGGGCTGGAAAAGGGATTGCTGAACACAAGTACTGTGGGTGTCCCTCTGGAGCGGGCTCGGACCTGACCCCTAGGCTGTGCCTCTGAGATGGCAGATGTGGGGACAAACTCTTGCTCCTGAAGGTGCCCCTGGCCCGCCCTGCCCTCCGGCGAGCGGAGGATGGGAACCTCTGGGAAAACTTAGATCTTGCGGCTACCGAAGACAACCGGGGAGGCGGGGAAGAGGGATTCATGTGAGCCTTGTGGCTACTCTGCCTCGGATGGGTTGGTGGCGGGTTGAGCTTTGGCCTGCAGCGTGAACGGCCGAGCATGACGGCTTGCCAGTACCCCATGGCGCCGGGGGCCTTGGAGCGGGACCGGATGTACCAGCACAAGGTCTCCTTGGTGGTACGATATTTCATGATCCCGTGCAACATCTGCCTCATCCTCCTGGCCACCTCGACGCTGGGATTTGCCGTGCTGCTCTTCCTCAACAACTGTAGGTGTCCCCGGGCGCGTGGCAGGAGCAGGGGAGGGAGAGGCAGGGGTTAGGTCAGCCAGCGTGCCGGGGCTCCGGCATAGGGGCAGCCCTCCCAGTGCTTCCAGCCTCCAGCTGGGGTTCTCCCTGCTCCCAAGCACTTATCACTTGCCTTCTGCTGCCTGCGGAGAAGCCGGGGAGGTGACAGCCCGCTCTTCAGCTTTGCCCCACTTTTCCCTGCCATGATGTTGGCCCAGAACAGCAGAGCTGCGAAGGCGGGCGTGCGTGGGCCAGCCCCAGCTCCCCACCGTGCACGGTGCGCTCATGCTCTCAGCTCTGCCGGCACCCTCTCTATCCCGTATCCCATTCCCCTCCCCAGCCCCGAAACGCTGTGTCTCCCAACCTGCTGCTTGAGGGCTGAGCGTGGGGGATGCTCCTGGAGGGAGAGGGGGATGCAATCAGTCTGTTTGCGAGGTGGGGATCTCAGCAGGGCTGTTTTGGGGATGAGGGGCAAAAGATGGACTCGTGTGAGTCCTGCCCTGGCCAGGGGCTTCTGCTGCTCCCTCGTTACAAGCCGCTGAACCCTCGGGTCCCTGTCACGATATGCAGTGGGTGGGAGATGTGTCTCCTAGGCTGCTCCAGGATCCCCGCTTTCTGCATGCTCTCTTGTTTTGAAGAATCGGCAGAGGGTTGGGCAGGACAGAGTTTTCCCCGAGGTTAGGCAACAGCCTCTGATCCCCGGTGTGGCTGCGCAGATCGTACATTTGGGTGTGGGTACATCCACGTATTGCTGGCTGCTTTAGGCACCGTGCTCCGTTGCCTCATCCTTGCACAGGTACTCGCCCTCCTTTCTCTGAGCACAGCCTGTGGAGGAAGACTCCATCGTGCAACGGTGTCTTTGACCTCCTTGCTGCCGGGAAGTGTCAAACACCTGCTGGGAGAAAAACCTTTAGAGGGCAGGCAAATCCTCCTAGCCTAGCTTTGGGATGCGCTGTTTCCCGTGGTGGGTGGGTGGGTGGTTAGAAAAAAAAGCTGTGCAAAACTGTAAAATACACGAAGGCATTTAAAAAGCACCGGCAGGAGCAGGACCCAGGTGGGGGTAGGGGAAGAGCTTGGCCGGTAAGGAGCGGTGTGCCCTCTGCCTTTGCTGCCCTGGGCACGTCGCTTAATAGAGAGCAGAGCACAGTTTGACACTGACTTCAGGGGGTTTCCCACTCAGGATGGCAGGCTCTGTGGTGCCAACTGCTTGAGTGGGGCTCTTCTTGTCCCCCTGCTTAATCCGGGGTTACCCAAACGTCGAGGGCTGGCTGGTGGTGAGGCTGTACCACCTTGCTCTGGCTCATGTCCATGGGAGCTTTCACCTTCCGCTGCCCCTTTCTCCTACCGGTGCCTTCTTGCTTCGGAGGCTGCAGCGTTCCCCGCTGCTGTCCTCCTCAACCCAAATGACTCGGCGAGTCCGTGCCCGGGTTGGGTGCGTGTGTGAGAGGCGATCCGCAGCGCCGTTTGCATCACAGCCCAGGTGAAACGGCACGCACGGGGCCGCGGCAAGCCCCAGCCCTGGCAGGCTGCTCCCAGATGCCAAGCCAGAGATGCTCCATCCATACAAGTGGGAGAGATGAGGCTCCTGGCTCCTGTTCCCGCTGCTCCCTTCTTGCTGCAGGACCTCCCAGGAGTTCCGTAGGACTTGGTGCCCGCTTGTGCAGGGCACGGGGGCTGAAGGAAAGAAATGCTGGTCCAAAAGCTGCTGGGGAGCTGTGGATGGAGGTCTGGGAGAAAGAGCGTGCAAAAGGGAACTGCTGATAGCCCTGTGTTTTTTGTTTCTTTGCAGACAAGCCCAATAGTTATTTTACCCAGACGCAGCCGACGCCGCGAGATGGTAAGTACACCGTCGCTTGGTGGAGCTCGGTTCCTGTGCTCAGGATGCGCTTGAGAGCGAATGGCTTGAGCCTCTCGTGCTTCCCGCAGCTGACGGTGGCTGCGCTCCTGACCCAGTGATCTATTTTGTGGCTGACTGGTCGCTCTGGGTGCCCCGAGCAGCACCGCAGCTCGCTCATGCCCATGCCCCTGCCCTGGGGCTGCAGGAGCGTGGCCCTCCGGGGAGAGGAGGGAGGGCAGAGCCACTGTCCCTCGTTGCTCCCTGGGAGGCACAGCATCCCTTTCTCCGCAGAGGCTTTCCCGGGTGGCTGTGGGGAAGGGCTGGGAAGGCAGATGGGATCTTCTACGTGCTCCAGCAGTTTGCAGAGCTTTACAAATTCATCTGCTGAGGCTGTGGAAGGGAGGAGACTGGAGAAAGGGACCTTATCCTTAAAAGCAGCAGTGTTGAATCCAGTGGCTATTCTGTAGTTGACCCTTAAGTGTCTTCCTGGATGTTGGCAGAAGGAAGGGGGGCAGAAGGAGGTGCAGAAAGGCTTGCTGCTCTGCAGGCACGGAGGAAAAGGTAAAAAGCAAACGGCACGTGTACCCATGGTACATGGCAGTGTCGCAGGTGAGGGAAAAACCATGAGAAGGTGATGGGCTGTTAGCATGAGGAAACAGCCAGAAAGAGGGTTCTGCCTCCCCCTGTCTCTCTATTTTTGGTGTAGCGTCAGAGTGACCCAGGGGAGGACAGTGAGGGAGGTGATGAGTTGGTGGAACCTGGAGCTCGAGGCTGCATCCCACCATGGCCTGGGCAGCAGACGTCCTCCCTGCCACCCCCCAGCCTGCCCTGAAAGCACAGAGGGATACTTATTCAGGGGAGTGATGTGGACATGGTGTTTCCTCAGGACTCTCCGCTGCCTTAGCAGGTCTTGGTCTTGCTGGGAAAGGACTGGAGTGGGTTGTGCTGGCTCAAGGCAGCAGGAGGTTAAATGGGCACAAAGCAGGTGGGAATCTCTCCAGCACAAGTGCGTGGGACGTGGGCTGGGCAGCTCGGGGAGAGGTGGTTTTTGAGGCTAGTGGAGGTTGCTGAGATGCTGCTGTCGGCTGTTCATTAAATTACTGCTTCTGCTGTGCAACCAAAGTTGAATCGTCGCAGCCCATCCAGTCTTGGACCAGTCAGCTACTAACGCTGTATAAATGCTACCGAAAAATCTGTTGGGCTTGTGCTCCAGCTGGCCAAAGATTTCAGCCATGTCAGCATCAAGAGCAAAATGGAAACTGGTGTTCAGCTGGACACCAGGTATCTCCACCGCCCTTGCCAGAAAGGGAGCGGGCACGTAAATTCTAATGCAGCCCTCTATCCTTTCCCATCCTTGCTTGGATCCCACAGGTTTCTGCTTCTGGGGTCTCCTAACAGTCCCATCCTCACCTCCAGCTTTTGACCGTACCAGTCCTGAGGCAGTACGGTGCTTTCCTTGTCCTCTTCCAGAGTTATTAGTCCTTCCCCGGCAGAGCAGGTGGGACGGCACCTGGGTTTCCTATAGACTCGCATTGTCCCTGGACCTGTGGCACTCGCCTGTGGAGTGCCTCTCACCTATGGATTCCCCGGTGTCTGATGAGCAGCGTACCCACCAGCACCTCACACCTTTTCTCTGGGCTTACTAAGGCCTTCCAGTTTCACAGACCTGTCGGAACTTTGGGTTTTGAGGCCATGCTGTTATCAGTCAATGGCTTTAAAGGCTGTTGGATGCAGGCAGGCAAGCACACGCTCAGATAATGTCATCGTAGGAGCTTTATTTTCTCTGAAAATCAGGCTTAAAATGCCCTGTTTTCTGCTGGCAGGCTGTTCAGTCACCTTCCCCAGCCTCCCTAGTTTCACGTGCGCAGATAAGAACCCAACAGAAAACAGCAGCCAATTAATAACACGTTTGTTTCTTTCTTTCTTTCCTTCTCTGATGGGGGTGGGGAAGGAGGCGGGGGAGAAACGGATGCTAGATAAAATGTGATTAATCTATAATTGGACCAGAGAAGACATCTAAAGCAAAAATAAAAACGAACGTAGGTGTAACTCCTAGCTTAGGGCTCCAAAATATTAGCAGCCCAGCCCATCCAGATGACATACTCCAAAAGATCTCTGGTCCCCACAGGAGATGGAAAACTACCACCCTTGGTGGGTTGCCAAAGGAGGCGCCTCCTTTTGCAAGTCTAATACGGTGCAAATGCCTCGTGTTGTCTTCGGGAAGCGTTTCTGGGCAGATGGGAGCAGGGGGCATGGGGGAGAGGTCCACCCTGGGGTGAAGGGCTGGTCCCCGCTTCTTCTGCTGTGCTGGAGGCAGTGTTCATCACCTGGGCTGCTTTGGAGCCGTGTCTCTGGTCCTCTCTATAGTCCTCTGACTTAGAGAGGGCCGTGCTTGAACTTGTAAAGTGCTCAGATGTGGCTGAGGTTTGCTGGGTGAGGGCCATGGTTCTTCTGTCCTTGGCTTGCTCTCAGGGTGGCTTTGGTGGGACATGGTGTTGCGCTAGTGAGAGCCGTGCCCGGCTGTCCGACCGGCAGGTCTGTTTGGGGAGGGCTCGTTGGGGACCCGCCGGACCCTTCTCCGTTCCCCTACCCAGCCACACCTGAGAGGGACAGGCAGGGGAGGGTCTCCACCTCGCCGCACCGTGTCCCTTCCCCAGGTGGTACCTGGTGGTGGGACAAAGGCGGTGGGTGAGGATTCGGTGGGTCTTGGCAGGCGGTGACTGCTCAGGGGCTTTGTCCCAGCACGAGAGTGTGACAGTGCCAGCGTCGAGCACAGCAGGACCCCTTGATGGCTTCTTCTCCAGCTGGGCTCCTTGAGGATTGTCACCTCTTTATCTTCTGGGCCAGATCCTCATCTTCTCCTGGTCTGCGCAGCTCTGTGGTGAGCCGTGGGTTGCCACCAGCTGGCAGCCTGCGCCGTGAGCCAACAGATCTCTGCCCACCGGTACCAGCTGAGGATCTGCAACTCGGTATTTCTGGTTGGAAACCCTGCTGCTGGAAGGTTTGCTGTGGTCCTTTCCCCTTCTAAACAGTGGTGCAAAGCCGGGACGGAAATCATCGTCTGCCCTGGCGATGTCAGACCTCAGTTTTCATCTGAAGGAAGGAGCTTCCCACGCTTTGGGCATCTCTTCTGCAAAGACCCTGTCCTGCATACAGAAAAGGTGCAGTAGCCACAACCGCTCCCTGGGTTCTCAGGCGCTGCTGGAGGTGAAAGACTTTGCCAGCCAGCAGGGAGGTGTCTAATTAGCACTCATGTGCTATTTATCTCTTCTTTTTCTTCCAATACCAATTTCTACCCTGGAAAACTCTTCAGCCGCACATTGATTTATAGAGTGGTCTCCCCTTCATTTTGAAACAAGGCCATTAATGCTGTTAACTCACTCCTTTCTCCCAAATCTCCCATGCCGCTGGCATTCCCGCAGCCGGGCAGGGACTTATTAAGCTCCGTAAGGTCTTTTGCTTAAATGCAGTGCTCCAGGAAGGCTGTTGCCTTTTTCCCCACCTGAGGGACCGGCCCGTGGCATCCAAGCTGGCTAATTCTTCTCCTTTCTCGCGGGAGCATCTGCGTGGGGACGTGGAGAGGGGGCGGTTGTTGGCTCAGCTGCGGTCCCCCCCCAGGGCAGCGGCGCTCCGGCAGGCAGCAGGCAGGGTGGGCTGTGCCTTCCCCGCATCCCCCCCAGGGATGCGGGTTGTGAAAATAAATGGTGGGGAGGATTTGGAGGGTGCGTCCTCCCCTCTCCTTGTTCTCGCAGCGTCTGTGATGAGAGCTTTGGTTTTCTGTTCGCGTGCGGCGTCCCTTGGCGCAACGGCGTGCGGGAGGCGAGGTTGGTTTTGTTGTTTGCTCTGCGGAGGGCAGGGAGAACAATAAACCCTCTCGGGGCTGGGCGGGCTGCTCCGCTGGATCGATAGGATGAGGGAGAGGGCTCTCGGGGTCAGCTGCCCGTCATCCCTCTCTTCTCGCCATCCTCCTCCCCCCGGGTGCTCCGCAGGGGCGCAGAAAACCCTCTCGGCTGGGGGGCTATTAGTGAGGTCCGTGTGGAGCGTGATGGCACAGCCAACAGCGGATGGCTCCGGAGCTGC